ACCATATCCTTTTTAACATAACAAAACCAACAATGCTGAGTTCCAAGAGTGTTCTAAATAAATACACCATATCCTTTTTAACATAACAAAACCAACAATGCTGAGTTCCAAGAGTGTTCTAAATAAATACACCATGTCCTTTTTAACATAACAAAACCAACAATGCTGAGTTCCAAGAGAGTTCTAAATAAATACTCTGTGTTATTTTGACCATAACACAACAATGCTGAGTTCCAAGAGTGTTCAAAACAAATATACCATGTTATTCCTAACATAACACAAATAAATAAATACACCGTGTCCTTTTTAATGTAACAAAACCAACAATGCTGAGTTCCAAGAGTGTTGTAAATAAATACACTGTGTCCTTCTTAACATAACACAACCAACAATGCTGAGTTCCAAGAGAGTTCTAAATAAATACACCGTGTTATTTTGACCATAACACAACACTGCTGAGTTCCAAGAGTGTTCAAAACAAATATACCATGTTATTCTTAACATAACACAAATAAATAAATACACCGTGTCCTTTTTAACGTAACAAAACCAACAATGCTGAGTTCCAAGAGTGTTCTAAATAAATACACTGTGTCCTTTTTAACATAACAAAACCAACAATGCTGAGTTCCAAGAGTGTTCTAAATAAATACACTGTGTCCTTTTTAACATAATACAACAATGCTGAGTTCCAAGAGAGTTCTAAAAAATATACCATGTTATTTTTACCATAACACAACAATGCTGGGTTGCAAGAGTGTTCTAAACAAATACACTGTGTGCTTTTTAACATACCACAACAATGCTGAGTTCAGTTCTAAAAAATATACCATGTTATTCTTACCATAACACAACAATATTGTGTTCCAAGAGTGTTTTAAAGAAACATACCAAGTCATTCTTAACATCACCAATAATGTTGAGTTCCCCACAAATACACCATATCATTCTTAACCCGAGTTTCAAGGAATGTTTTTAAACAAATATACCATTTCATTTTTTAACAAAACCAACTGTTTGAAACTCATTGAAACATTGAATAGTCTGAGAGTTAGGAAAGTTCTTTTTCTACTTTTGAAAAAAAAAATGCCCTGGTTTATTATCACCTTTTCAATGTCAGCAATTTCATTCTCAAATATTTCAGCAACAGTAACATGATGTTTAGCTGCAATTGTGAATCGGCCCTAGGAAAAAACAAAGTAAGATTTCTATTGATACAGTAACAACTCACAAAAATACATTTTATTTGAACAATGAACTTACTGAATTTTTTATAACAATTTCTAAAAACTAAAGTTTTTCTTATTGACATGATCACTAAATTAAGATATTAATGTGCAAAAAACAAATTGAGTATTAAACTAAATTATTCAGTTTTGATTTTTTTGAATAACAGTAAGTTGTAAAACAGTTCAATACACACTGGGAAAAAATGAGAAAATCAGGATCTAACAGAGTTACTTAAATTCATTCCAGGTGCATACTGTTAAAATCAAGTCTTATCCATTCTAACAAGTTTCCAAAACTGAGTTAAGCACTCTTTCAAAATGATAAAGTTAACAAATTGGTTAAAGCATTGCATTACAGAGTATTTTAGTTATTATTTTTACTGCTTATATAATTTGAAAACTGATAGAAAGAGAAAAATAGAAAAAGTTGAGGAAAGATATCAAACACATTTATAAAAATGTATTATCACATATCTCTTGTACAGATTTGTGTAGTCATTCTAGGGGTGGAAACTATATACATAAATGTATCTTTTTTTTTTTTACACAATGATGACTGATATGACTTGCTTTCCACAAGTGGCTAGTCACCCTAGAAGAAGATGTGGCTGTTGGACTAGATTCAGAATATAACTAAACTCACAGTCATTTTTAAGTTTCAACAACAAGAAAAAAAGTGCCAAATCAAATTTAACTTACCATGTCTGTATATATTTCAATAGCTTTCAAAAGACAGTTCACAGCCTCTGTAAAGAATTCATATTTGATATATTTAAAAGTGACAAGCCTTCAAACTAATATCATCTAAACAGATTTAGCAAACATTTTATTCTTCTACACACACACCAGATAAAAGAGCAGTATCCGAGAATGTTGGTCAGTTACTTACAAGGAACTACTTCTAAAGCCGTGGCTACAAGTGATGAGCAGCGTGCAAATACTCTCACATAAGAGTAGTCTTAGCTAGAATATGTTCAAAAAATATCCTGTAACTAGTGAGACTGAAAGCTGAAGTGAAATATAAATTAAGATTTTATTTTTCCACTACCACATTGATAATCATTAGAATATTTAATCCTAGAATTAAATGTTTTCGAAACAATTAATATAACTGCTTGTGAATCCTTGATTCAGTTAATTACAGGGTACCTAATAATTACAAGTCACAATAATATTTAAACAGAAGACTATTATAATTAATCTAACTTATTACTCATGGGATCCCCTGTATTTTATGTACAAAAGAGGCATTTCTCTCAATTTTATTTGATCATTTCTTTACACAGTTTTGTAACAGACAAAAATATAAAATTAGTTAATGGATACAATATGTGCACCTCACTGGTAGTGACTGATACAAAAACAAGTCGGGTTAATCACACTACTGTATATTTCTTCTGGCTAGGTTAGTACATGAAATTTGTAGAAGAATCTGAATGAGCATTAACTGTGCTTACAGTGTATGTTGTATTGCTCAATAAATATTTGAAGTTTCACACATAAATCTATGTTTAGTAGACATTTCTAACATCCTCCAAAACTGGTTATAGTTAATTATCAGTTATCAACTTCTTATTATGTACCAAAACTATTCAAAATGTTTCACTGAAAATTTAGGTCAGTTTATGGATAGAGAAAACTTTAAGGTAAAACAAAAATGTTAACAGTGGAAAGAGATTTTAAAAATAAAATTTACAGTATTATTAACAGTTCATTACTTTTCTTATCAAAGTGTGATGCAATATCTGTAAGATAACAAAATACTCCCAACTACAGGTAACACTATATAATGAAATACTCCCAACTACATGTTATACTACATAACAAAATACTCCCAACTACAGGTAACACTATATAATGAAATACTCCCAACTATAGGTAACACTATATAATGAAATACTCCCAACTACATGTTACACTATATAACAAAATACTCCCAGCATCAGGTAACACTATGTAATAAAATACTCCCAGCTTCAGGTAACACTATATAATGAAATACTCCCAACTACATGTTACACTATATAACCAAATACTCCCAGCGTCAGGTAACACTATAAAATGAAATACTCCCAACTACAGGTAACACTATATAACAAAATACTACCAGCTTCAGGTAACACTATATAATGAAATACTCCCAACTACATGTTACACTATATAACAAAATACTCCAAGCTTCAGGTAACACTATATAACGAAATACTCCCAACTACAAGTAACACTATATAATGAAATACTCCCAACTACAGGTAACACTATATGAAGAAATACTCCCAACTACATGTTACACTATATAATGAAATACTCCCAACTACAGGTAACACTATATGAAGAAATACTCCCAACTACATGTTACACTATATAACGAAATACTCCCAACTACAGGTAACACTATATAACGAAATAATCCCAACTACAAGTAACACTATATAATGAAATACTCCCAACTACATGTTACACTATATAACAAAATACTCCCAGCTTCAGGTAACACTATATAATAAAATACTCCCAGCTACAGGTAACACTATATGAAGAAATACTCCCAACTACATGTTACACTATATAACGAAATACTCCCAACTACAGGTAACACTATATAACAAAATACTCCCAACTACAGGTAACACTATAATTAATGTAACATTACATCATTGTAAAATTGGATCTTGCATAAAAACTCCCTGGGAATTAGCACATACAATTCTAAGGATGATAAATCCTTTTATCATAATAGGTAGTATATCAATTACCCCTCAAACAACCAACCTAACATTAATTTATAAAAAAACTATCTTATTCATAAACTTACACTAAAAACATTATAAATTATCAATATAAAACAATTCATAAACAGTTCCAAGTATCTGAAGTCAGAAGTAATTCAAAGCAACAGAAGTAAGCATCTGGGTTCTCTTTTTTTCCTAACTCTGTTGGCCTTAAACGCATTTCAATTTTCAATACCTAACCCATCACAACTCTTAACCATTTTGAACATATAAATACAGTGTAATCTTAAGTCTTAACCATTTTAAACATATAAATACAGTATAATCTTAAGTCTTAACCATTTTGAACATATAAATACAGTGTAATCTTATGTCTTAACCATTTTGAACATATAAATACAGTGTAATCTTAAGTCTTAACCATTTTAAACATATAAATACAGTGTAATCTTATGTCTTAACCATTTTGAACATATAAATACAGTGTAATCTTAAGTCTTAACCATTTTGAACATATAAATACAGTATAATCTTAAGTCTTAACCATTTTGAACATATAAATACAGTGTAATCTTAAGTCTTAATAATTTTGAATATATAAATACAGTGTAATCTTAAGTCTTAACCATTTTAAACATATAAATACAGTGTAATCTTAAGTCTTAACCATTTTAAACATATAAATACAGTTAAATCTTAAGTTCTTCTTTCTAGAAGGAAAAAGTAGGTGTTACTTGAAATCCACCAAATGCTTCAAAGGTGATTTAAACACTAAACGTCAGTACATTAATCGAAGAAACACAAGTTGAAGATCGAAAAATTTTCCTATTTTACAGTGAGACATTCAAACCTAGAGGATCCGATTTTTTGTAGCAGTTGCCTGCATCCACATAACATGATGCTGCATTGTGACGACTGTCAATTTTCTGATGTAGTGATGCTGCTTCACAGAAAGCACTTCCAGCAGCTGCGATGGAGAGAAGTACATCATGTGACATTCCATTATATATTCATCTTTATCAAACTTTGAGAATTTACTGTGACTAGCTTCTTGTGTTTTATTATCAATTACCAATAACATATTGAAGACAGAAGCTGTACAATAACATTTTTTCTTTAGTGTAGATCAATATATACTGTTTCCTCGTTCACTAAATGTATGAACTGTGCATTTTCTATAAAAATATTTAAGAACTCTAACTGTAAAAAAAAAATTGTAATTTCATAATACCAAGCAGAAAAACAGTTACAAATTTCTTTTTAATCTAACCTGTATAAAAGCCAGTGTGTGTCACATCATCTCATGCTTGATTTCTCGAAATAGGAGGTGTCATAAAAGCCAAAGTGTATTTATCCAGATAGAATAGTTC